GGAGGGAGCATATGGTCTTCCTGGCCCTTTGTCCAACTAGGCTTGGCTGACTTTATCTTTGAGGCATCTATGAAGCAAGTTTGCTAAAAATGCAATAGTGTAAGTGTGTCCATGGCATCTTGAGTCTCTGCAGGGGTGACTTTAACCCCCGCACTGCAGTGTATGTATGCCTGTTTCTTTCTCCTTCATTCCACCTTTGGAACCCGAATGTTGAGCACTATGCCTGGTACACAGCAAGCACTTCGTAGATATCCCCCAAACAAACAAAGAACTGCTCAAGGAATGAAATGTCCGCCTTTTAAGAAGAACCCATTCATTCTGAGAGTTTATACGAGGTGATGGTTCTGGTTCACCCTCTGAAAGAAGTCCAACAAACCAAGGGTTTAATCGCCAACATTTACAGGGAACTCATACAACTTAACAAAAGGAAGATAAACAACCCAATCAAAAAATGGGCAATGAACCTAAATAGATACTTCTTGAAAGAGGACATAAGGAAGGCCAAGAGGCATATGGAAACACGCTCAAAGTCCCTAATCATCTGAGAGATGCAAATCAAAATGACAATGAGGTACCATCTCACACCTGTCTGAATAGCTATCATCAACAAATCAACAAATGACAAGTGCTGGCGAGGATGCAGAGAAACAGGAACCCTCGTGCACTGCTGGTGGGAATGCAGACTGGTGCAGCCACTGTGGAGAACAGTATGGAGTTTCCTCAAAAAACTAAAAATGGAACTCCCATTTGACCCAGTAATCCCACTGCTAGGAATATATCCCAAGAAACTAGAAACACCATTCAGAAAGGATATATGCACCCCTATGTTCATAGCAGCACAATTCACCATAACTAAGACTTGGAAACAGCCTAAGTGCCCATCAGCAGATGAGTGCATTAAAAAGCTCTGGTACATCTACACAATGGAATACTACGCTGCAGTAAAAAAGAAGGAATTGTTACAACTTGCAACAGCATGGATGGAACTGGAGAACATTATGCAAAGCGAAATAAGCCAGTCAGAGAAAGATAAATATCACATGATCTCACTCATTTGTGGAATATAATTAATAACATACACTGATGAACAAAAACAGATCCAGAGACAGAGAAGCATCAATCAGACCATCAAACCTTAGAGGGAAGATAGGGGAGTGTGGGGGGAAGGGGGAGAGATCAACCAAAGGACTTGTATGCATGCATATAAGCCTAATCAATGGACACAGACACCAGGGGGGTGAGGGAATGAGTGGGTGAGGGAGACAATGGGGGGATAAGACACACATGTAATACCTTAATCAATAAAGAAAAAAAGAAGAATGCTTTCTTGCCCTAGCTGGTTTGGTTCAGTGGACAGAGCGTCAGCCTGTGGACTGAAGGGTCCCAAGTTCAATTCCAGCCAAGGGCACATGCCCAGGTTGTGGGCTCAATCCCCAGTAGGAGGCATGCAGGAGGCAGCCAATCGATGATTCTCTCTCATCATTGATGTTTCTATCTCTCTCTCTCTCCCTCTTCCTTCCTCTCTGAAATCAATAAAGAAATATATATATATATCTATATCTATATATATATATATAGATATATATATAGATATATATATTGAAAGAATGCTTTCTTAGCACCTCACTCAAAGCTAGAGCACTAAAGTTATATTAACTGTTTTCGAAATGAGCCAAGCCTCTCGCCGTGCCATCTCAGTGTGTGGGGTGTTAAGACAGTCCTGGTTCTCTGAATGGACAGTCTTCTCCCCCTCCCTAGACTCAGATGCTATTAATCAGGACAGTGCACAGTGAGTCTCACTAAAGGACCTACTGTGGACAACCGGGTCTTTGTGTTCTTCCCTGAGTTGGGTTTGACTCACATCAGTCCTGAGTTACTGTGTTTATTCTTCATGATTCCTTAGGTTCATGAAGTACATCTATAGTATGTTAGATTTAGGAGTTGGGAATAAGAGACCCGAAAAGGCACACTGCAAACCACCGCCATGGTTCTTTTGATTACCTCATAGTCCCAGGACATGCTGCTGGCCAGCGCATAACACATTTATTATCATAAATGGCAACGTCTCAGTCTCCTTCACACGAGAGCAACCCAGGCAAGGCTTCCAAATTAATAATCTTTTGGGGATTTTTCTTAGCTGCAATGGAAATCTGGTGCTGGATTCTAGAAATCATGGAAAAGAAGGTAGCAGGGGGGTTCTATTTACTTCTGATAAGCCATCAATTGTTGCTTAGTTGTAAACAAAGGCAAAGACTGAGTGTGTAGTTGCAAAACATAAAACATGCTCCAAAGCAGCCAGGAAGCAAAAACATTCAAATACAACTTTGTTCCCTAAACATTTTTCAAACACACAACATGTGCTGGACACGAAGCTAGGCACTCACTAGAGACATAGTAACACAGCATGCCTTTCTTGCCCAAGGAGCTCACAACGTCCGAGGGGGTAGGAATATGTAACAAAGAATTCTAGTACCCTAGTATAACTTCAGGCTTCATGTAAAGCTGGTTTTGCAAACGCACAGAATAGGAGGCAATCAACTCTACATGAGGAGGTTAAAAGAAGTTTCATAGGCAGTTTGGCTTCACTTTGCAGGATGCATAAATTTTCACCTGCAATTTGAAGGAATACATTTTAGGCCAAGAAAATTGCCTGAACGAAAACAGAAAGCGTGAAAGTACAAGCTGCATTCAGTAACGCATGCAGGGTCCAATGTGGCTGGAGTGGAGACTACTGGGAGAGGAGGTGACAGGCGAGAGTGGAGAAATTGATTTAAAGCACGATCACATCCAAAAACTTTGGAATGTATAGGATAGAACCAGGAAACAATCAGCCTTTTTAAAAACACAGGCTTGCAAGGAAAAAGATATGTTTTAGAAATACGACTGGCTATGTGGATCACAGACAGAAGAAAGAGGCTGACTATGTGAAGGTAGAGTTGCTTCCAGATATTAAGAAACAGATGCCCTAACAAACAAAACTAGTCCATAACAGAAGACTTGCCAGTTTGATGATGGCACCATGAAATGCAGACTTGAAACATTGGAATTTTAATTCCTAAAATCCCTGTGGAACTTGTAGTTTAAGAAGCACTGTTTTGGTCACATTAAAACAGCATGAATAATAATCCACAAAAATGGAAAATGAAAAGTAAAATTCTCGCCCTAGCTGATTTGGCCCAGTGGCTAGGGCAGTGGTCAGCAAACTGCGGCTCGCAAGCCACATACAACTCTTTGGCCCCTTGAGTGTGGCTCTTCCTAAGCCTTAGGAGTACCCTAATTAAGTTAATAACAATGTACCTACCTATATAGTTTAAGTTTAAAAAATTTGGCTCTCAAAAGAAATTTCAATCGTTGTACTGTTGATATTTGGCTCTGTTGACTAATGAGTTTGCCGACCACTGGGCTAGGGTGCGGGCCTACAGACTGAAGAGTCCCAGGTTCGATTCCGGTCAAAGGCACATGCCTGAGTTGTGGGCTCGATCCCCAGTGGGGGTTGTACAGGAGGCAGCCAATAAATGATTCTCTTTCATCATTGATGTTTCTCTCTCTCTCTCTACTTCTCCCTTCCTCTCTGAAATCAATAAAAAATTAAAATAAAAAATGGTTCAGGAAAACTGGATACCTACCTGCAAAAGGATGAAGCTGGACCCATATGTTACATCATATGCAAACATTAACCGAATATGGGTCAAAGAACTAAACTTCAAGAGCTAAAACTATAAAACTTTTAAATGAAAATATAGGAGAAAGCCTTCATGACCTTAAACTTGGCAATGATTTCTTGGATATGATACTAAAGTATAGGCAACAAAAGAAAAGTACAAATTAGACTATGAAAAGGCAACCCATAGAATGGAAGTAAATATTTACAAATCGTGTATCCAATAAGAGCTTAACACCCAGAATATATAAAGAACTGCCACAACTTAACAACCAACAACAAAATAAAACCCAATTCAAGAATGGACAAAGAACTTGAACAGACATTCCTCCAAGGATATACAAATGGCCAATAAACACATAAAACAATAATCAACATCTTAGTCATTAGGGAAATGAAAATCAAAATGACAATGAGATACTAGTTCACATCCATTGGATGACTATTATCCAAAAATAGGGGAAGGGAGTAGATAAATTATAACTTTCACACATTACTGCCAGGAATGTAAAATGGCCTAGTCCTATGGAAAACAGTTTGGAGGTTCCTCAAAAGAGTTAAACACAGAACTACCTTCTGATTCAGAAATTCCAATACTAGGTATATACCCAAAGGAATTGACAGCAGACTCAAACAGATACTTGCATACCAATGATCAGAGCAGCATTATTCACAACAGCCCAAAAGTGGGAACCTCCAAGTGTCTATCAACAGATGAATGGATAACCAAAATGCAGTTTTTATGTACAGCAGAATCACTATTCCACTTAATCATCCACCAAAAGGAATGAAGTATATGCTGCAGCATAAATGAACCTTGCAAACATTGTGCTAAGTGAAATAAACCAGACCCCAAAGGTCAAATATATTATAATTTCACTTATATGAGGAACCTAGAATAGTCACATTCAGAGACTGAAAGTGGAATGGCGCTTCCCAGGGGCTGTGGGGAGAGGAGGAGAGGAGGTAATTATTTAATGGTTATGGGATTTCTATTTTAGGTGATGAACAAGCTCTGAAAGTGGACTGTGGTGCTGGTTGCACAGCAACATGAATACACTTAATGCTACTGAAACAAACACTTAAAAATGCGCATAATGGTAAATTCTAAGTTATGTGTACATTACTACAATTAGAAAAGAAAAACAGCAGAAATAGTCCAATTCTGACTAGATGAGTTTCTATTGTTTAAAGAACACTAGGTTAACATGTAGGAAGATCCACTCCTTTTCAGGTCCTGGTGAAAGTTAACTGCTGGAAGTCATTGCAAGGCTGAAATGCATAGGCCGTCCCTTTTCACTAGAGGTGGTCAGGATGCTCAAAGACAAAGCAAACTTACATTGCAGTTTGAGGAGCCATCGAATGTGGGGTAAGAGCCTTCCGGCCAGTCAGCAGGGTCCAAGGCAGTTGACTGCCGGTGCTGGGCCTCATACTCCTTGAGCTGCCACGAGAAGAAAAAGAAGATTGAAATGGAAATAATCGCCAACACTGTCTACCAAGCAGCAGAGAGAACACTGTGGCACCTTCCTCGTGCCACTATAGGTGACAAAGTGCCAGCCAGCCAAAGGCCAGGCTCACAAAACCAAAGGAAAGACCCACACCCTGCCCTGTGGCTTTTCATCTGACTTAAAGCAACAGCCACACCGACTCTTTGTATTCTGTCTTCCAAAAAGAACCTCGATTTCCTCCCTCTGACATCAAAACTCATCTCTCACAGTTCAATGTAAATTTTATAGCAAAATTTGTTTGCTATTCGGCCTCTGAATTACCTCTCTTTGTAGAAGACACGATACAGTAGGCTATGAACATTTGAACAAAGCAGTGAAAGCCTGAAACTGATATTTTAAAATCATTTGTTCTTCTTGTTCTAGACTGTTTAAGTGACCAGTTCAATGTTAACACCTAATAGATACAATGGGATTTACTGGGGACCCTTGTGGGTGACAGGAAAAGAACAACGGATCTAGAATATGTGCAGAGACATTGAGAGTTGGTGTTTAGAAACTACTTTTTTTAAAAAACACAAAAAGACAAGTGAAATATTATAGAAAATTGGCAAATGTGAAAAGTTCCAGGTGTGTTTTCATAAAACACACAGAAATTTAACTCTGCTACATGCTACAATGAAACCATCACTGCATTAAAATTTTACTATAAAACACTTTTTATATATGAATTTAAGGCACTGATCAAATCTTGTTCCATGAATAAAGCCACCAAACAATGGAAACATCTGACCTGACAGCCCAGGAGATGGTGTCACACTGCCCTCAACCACTGGGGCTCCGTGGACATGGCAAAGCCACCAAACTGACAATGTCCCTCCAGCTGCTTTCCAAAGCATCACCTCTGCTATGAAAATCTTTATGTGGGCACATGTGACAGGAGCTAGACCAGGCGGAGGCAGACAGTATTGATTAAAGAGCAAGAGCTTAGCAGCTGAGAGGTGTGCCTCAGTTCTTCCATCAGGAAAATGGGCATGACAGTGAGTCCATCTCACAGGAACTCTACCAGAATTAAGAAGGCAGGGAAGCTCTTAGCACCCTGCTCCTGCGCAAGAGACGCATTACCATAGCCTTATTATCACCCCGTGGTCTCAGATAAAGGAGAGCTCACACTGACTCCAGGCATTTGCGCTTTTGCTATTAGGGGCAGTAATCTCATTTTAATCTTTCTAGTACTTTAGGGCATTGCATTAGTATTGTTCTAATCTTTGTAGAATGTTTACATTATGTACCAGAATGCTTGATATACTGGTTTCTGCAATGCTGATTTCTCACTGTATTATCGGGATAGCAGCCACCTAAGCAACCTGGGTTACTTATTTACTCCAAGTCTGTGTTCTACTTTTTTTTGTAATCCTCACCAGAGGGTATCTTTTCCATTGCTTTTCAGAGAGAGTAGAAGGAAGGTAGGGAGGGAGAGAGAGGGAGAGACAGAGAGAAACACATCGATGTGAGAGAGACACATCAATTGGTTCCCTTCCACACATGCCTCAACCCTGGGTGGGGAGCAAACCCACAACCCGGGTACATGCCCCTGACCAGGAATCGAACCAGTGACCCTTCAGTGCACGGCTGTCGCTCTAACCACTGAACACACTGGCCAGGGCTTATGCTCTACTTTTATACTCAGCCTTAGCCTAGACTCCTAGGAGCCACTAAATAAACTTAATCTTTAAAAACAAGACAAATTCCTAATTAGTCAATCATAAACAGAATTAATATTTTTCTTCTGCTATCTGTTCATTTCCATCATTTACTTTGGGGCCTAAGAGTACCTGTATTTCTTCTAATATAGATTCCAAATTGGCCACTTATTTTTATAGTTATCCTAATTTCAACAGGCTATGTGTTTTATTAGTGATCCTGTTACAAAATACAATCTCTAAAAATTTTAAAGTACATTTTATAGGAAAAAAAACCCACCTGGTTTTATTTATAATTATATTTTTATATTCCACTTTGCTCCTTAAGAAGTGTTGACTTAAATATAATTTCATGAAGAAAAAACAACTGATCATTTCAATTGAGAATATATATAAATATATATATAATAAAATTTATAAGTTGTTAGTTTAATTCCAAGAATTTTTTAAATAATGACATTTTAATGTGTGTGTGTGTGTGTGTCTGAGGAGGAAATACTCTCTTACATCCTATTTTTCCTAGTCTTATAGTTTTCTTATACTTGAAGTCTATGACACAATTCTTAGAGGGAATGGCCATCGTTAGTAGAGTAATGCTTATTCTGTCTTAAAGACCTGTAGGGAGAGATATTCTAAAATGTTCCCATTTCTAAGAGTGCTTATTGGAAGAACATTTGTATTATATCTCCTCCAAATCCCCTCCAGCTGCAATTTTAATTCATTTCCTTTTATTCTGCCCTCAGTTGAGATAAAGCAAAATAAAACACTCTTCAGTGCATCCTGAAGATGTACTGTTTAATAATCCCTCATATACTTGAGAAAAGTGATTAAACTCTTTTCTGCTTCTTCTCTGAGATAAATCCTTTCCGATTTCACCCCCTGGGATCTATTAAAAGGAAACCTCAATCACTTTGTTGCTCTCCATAAGCCTCTCTAATTGTCAAAATCACTGTGACTGATGCTCCAATAGCTGCTGCAAGGAAATAACTCAAAAACATACAGGTTCCCAGTTCATCAAGTGGTTCTCTGGTATACCAGATGCCCAGACTCCCTTTACAAAACTATTCACCTATCCCCTATCTGGGGCATCTCTGTGCGTGGCTGTCTCCCCATGAGGAGCTATTTCCCCAGAGATGCCTAGAAGACTGCTGATGGCTGATTGCTCCCTGCTCCCTGCTCCCCCATCAGTTTGTAACCTCTTTTTCTCCGGCAGGACAAGTTCTATAATGTAATTCACCTTCCAGGGCTCCCCACTCCCTAAGGAATCAGGCTGAGGGTAGACTTCCCCTGAAATCCCATCTCTGTCCAGCTTCTTTCTCTGCTTCCCTCTCTCAGCACTTAGAAGTTTCTCAATAAATCATGTTCATAAGAATCCTCAATTCAGGCTCTGATTCTAGGAAGTTGATGTAAGACACTGGCATTAAAAAAAGTTCACAATGCCAAAACATCAGTCAAGTCAGTAACAAACATCAAGAACTTTTTTTTCCTAAATATGTTTTTGTTGATTTCAGAGAGAGGAAGGGAGAGGGGGAGAGAGAGAAACATCAATGATGAGAGAGAATCATTGATAGGCTGCCTCCTGCATGCCCCCTACTGGGGATTGAGCCAGCAACTCAGGGTATGTGCCCTGACCAGGAATTGAATTGTGACTTCCTGGTTCATGGGTTGACACTTAACCACTGTGCAACACCAGCAGAACTCAAGGACTCTTTTAAAAAATATATATCTTGCCCTAGCTGGTTTGGCTCACTGGATAGAGCGTCAGCCTGGGGACTGAAGAGTCCCGGGTTCGATTCCGGTCAAGGGCATGTACCTTGGTTGCAGGCACATCCCCAGTAGCGGGTGTGCAGGAGGCAGCTGATCGATGCTTTTCTCTCATCAATGTTTCTAACTCTCTATCCCTCTCCCTTCCTCTCTGTAAAAAATCAATAAAGTATATTTTATATATATATATATATATATATATATATATATATATATATATATATCTTAAGGACTTTATTTTGAACTCTCACACAGATGTGACCTTGTGGACACATATTTATCAGACACATATATCGGGTAAATAACTATGTAATATTTAGTCACTAGATCAAATCACATGAGCAATCTTTAGTATTATATTGTTTTTTAGAAAATATGATTATTAAATCATGGTTACAGATCTCTTATTTCCTACAGACAATTCTCCCATTTAAATGTCAACAAACATATTTCTCTACAACCTAGCTCAATCATTGCTGGTACCATCACACCAAAATAATCATGTTCTCTTTCATCCAAAGCTTTAAAGTGAGTTTATTCCTTACTCTCCCATCCTCACTCACATACCACAAAACTACCCAGGTAAGTGAATAAACTGTGGTTTCCAAATATCTCATGGGCTTTTAAGCCTTCTGGAACTAGCCCAAGATTTAAATACCATAAATTACTTGCAAAGAGCTACGTGTGCTCTTAAAATTAGCACCCGGAAATTGTGTTAGTACACCAATTACCTAGATTCCCCCTAAACATTTTTTTTAATTAATGAAATTGACTTTTATTTTTGAGCTTGATTTCTTTAAAGCACCTATATTGAGTATCCATCATAAAACTATTATAAAATGTATGAAATGCCACTAGATTTTATTAAACTACTCAGTCATTCAGTTAATAAAATATAAAAAAACATAAGTGAAGTTGCTACCTTTTTAAATTACACACTCAAAAAAATACACTGTGAGTTATTTCATACACTTCATTCTCTTCAAATGCTTATGAAGTGTACAGTGGTGTTTCCTAAAAACTCAGTTTTCAGGGGTATGAATCATGGCTATATAATTCACAGTACAAAAATACCTATCAACGAGATCGAATTCATATAAACAAAGCATAGTGGGCCAACTGCATCTAAAATAGTCAAAATGTTCTCCAATACAAGGATGTACTGGGGGATCACCGAACTCCAAATGGCACACAGACAAGCTTCTCCCCTGATGTGGGTTATTCTAGTCTACGCAGGGGTCTCCAAGTCTCTGGCAGTGGAAGAAACACAGCCTGATGTAAGCAAAATTTTAAGGTATATATAAAGCTTAAGTTTTAAAATTCAAAATGTAATTTGTGAAGGTATCTTATAGAACTGATTTTTATAATGGTTGTAAAATATTTAATTTTCTTTAGTTTTTACTTAGTAAGTTTTATCATTACATTCTTATCAATCATTTTACAAGGCTTGTGAATTTTGCAACGGCCGTCAGTCATTTTCCTCGTTAAATTGGTCAATAGCCCAATATATGTGCCATTCATTCATTCGTGCATTCCTTGAATATGGAAATTTCATCTTACAACATGGAATGCTTATATTAAGCACATAGAATGGAATCAATATTTTGTCTGATAAGATGGGTACCTGATGACCACCAAAGTATAATCAAAATACTGCTCTGAATAACATATTCTTATACTCTTTGATGCTCTGTCTTAGTCTGTTCATGTTGCTATAACAGATTACCATAGATGAGGTAGCTTATACCGAACAGAAATGTCTGTTCCTGAAACTGGGAAGTCCAAGACCAAAGTGCTGGCAAATTTAGTGTCTGGTGAGAGCCCGCCTCCTGGTTCTGTCTTCTCCCTGCGTCCTCACAAGGTGGGAGGGGTGAGGAAGCTCTCTGGGGCCATATATATATATATATTTTTTTTTTAATTGATTTGAGAGAAAGGGGAAGAGAGAGATAGAAACATCAATTATGAGAGTCATTGATCAGCTGCCTCCTGCATGTCCCCTCTGGATTGTGCCCACAACCTGGGCATGTGCCTTGACCTAGAATCAAACTGGTTCATAGGTGGACGCTCAACTACTGAGCCACACTGGCTGGATTCTCTGAAGGCCTCTTTTATAACGTCATGACCTAATCACCTCCCAAAGGCCCCACCTCCAAATACCATCACATGTTAGGACTTAACATGTGAATTTGGCGGAGGGACAGACGCAAACATTTGGTTTACAGAAGGCCCCCAACCTTTCTAAGTCTGAGGAGGCCCCCCTCACACATGTGAACCGAACCCCTGCAGCTTTACCCTGGCCAGTGCCTCCTCAATGGTGATCATCTTCTCCTTGACCATCATCATCAGCTGAATCCGCTCTTCATCGCTCATTGTTATCTCGCTAGCAACATAGCCCACATCTTCTCCTAGAGATTGGAGATCAGAGACAATAGGAATGAAAACAAGAAAGGTAATCAGAATGCCAAGCTTGAAAGTGCATCATTCAAAAATAAGGCAGACTGTGGGCACGTCCAGTGACGTCCATCCCTGATGGAGCAGCAGGAGCAGTCATGGGCTGCTCTGTCGGAAGCCAATGAGCCCGTCTCATTGGGAAACAGTTACCAAGAACATATGGATGTTACCGTGAAACAAATCAGAGCATTTGTGATGCGGGGTCTAGTGAAGGAGTTTTGGGAGAAAGCCCACAGGGAGCAAGAGGTGGGCAGAGACCTAATTTAAGACCCAGCGATAGCAGACAAGCAGCCTCGGCCCCTTCGACTGAGGGTCCCCTATGTCTTCCCATTATGAATATGAACGAGAAGAAAATATTTTGGGAAAAAGTGGGAGAGAGCTTTCTGCTGTGACAGAGTAAGGTCACAGAGCCAGCTGCGGTGCGGCCTGAGAGACCCTGGACTCCTGCTACGCTACCTGAGGGCTATTCCTCCGTAAATCAGTACAATAAGTACCACGGATGGGAAGTGTCCTAGGGTCCTTGGAAGGAAGGTACCATGTGTGTACACATCTGAGCGTGTTATTGGCATAAACATTCCCAAACTGTGAGGAGGACTCAACTTCCACCTGGAACCTGAAGGCAGCCAGAGCTGCAGAGGAAAACAACCGTTCTGTTACTTCGAGAGTGTTTTCCTACAAAGCAAACAGACTGCCGGCGCCTCTGATGCATGTGAGCCACGTTGGCGCGTGCCCCTCTGGCCAGCGGGTGGGTAGAGAAGTGTCAGTGGAAGTGGCTGTAAGAGGCTCGCTGGGAATAAGCCCTCCGTCTAGTCCCTCATCTTTCTCCGTCTGCCCCGTCTTCCCCACACATACCTCACTAGCCTCGGAGTCGTTAGGAGGCTCGGCTACGGCTTAATTTGCCCTTTGGAGGAAGGGGCAGGGGCTCAGAGGCTGGCTGCACACTTGTAGGATCCCTTCCGTCAGGACCTGCCCTGGAATTTATGTTCCCCTGAGTCTCCCTATCTCATTTCCATTTGGTAATCCATCAGTCCAGAGGCAGCACTCAAGTTCCCTTTGCCACTCGTCCCCTTGCAGGGGGAGGATAATAGAGTGTCCGGGGCGAGCGGAAAGCCTGCTGGCTTGATTCATTTTCCTATCTGTGTCACCTCCAGGGGTGGAGGGGGTGACGGCCAGTTGGTTGGCTCTTAAAATAAATCTACTCGAGCCGGTTAACTGCCAGCTCCTGCCCTTCATCCCTCCATCCCCGTCTCTCTCGCTCTTTCTCCTTTTCCTTCCTCCTCAACAAGACTCTGTTAGAACCCAAGGTTTCCTTTAAATCACAAGTGATTTCTGGGTGTGTATCGGAGGAAAAACGGAGAGTGTTTAAGAAGAACTCTCCTTTAGCAAGACAAATTAAAAACCTGACCCCACGGAGGTAGCCAACGAAGCCAGGTGTGCAGCTGGCGGGCACACTGTCTGTGTCCGCTTTCCTCGTTTCTATGTGTACGAAAAAGTGGAAAAGCCTTGAGAACAGGGCAGGACACTAAGATGTCGCCAAAAAACCACCACCAAGTAATATCAACTGGGGACCAAGTAAAAATGTTCCTCTCATGCTGACCTGAGTCAGCGGGCCTGTGTCTGGAAGCAGCTCTGTTCCCATCCCCCTCTGGATGCTGGGGAAGCACCAATTATGTAAGCCAGCCTCAACGGGATGACATGTTTACTTACTACATAAACAACAACAAAGACCCAGCCAGGAGGCGGGCAGGGCTCCCTCTGCAAGCAGCCTGGGCAAATTCCCATGATGTCAGACCATCAGATAGAGTTTCCAGGGCAACAACCCAGTAACTGTCCCAGCCACAGACCGGCATGGAAAGTTCAGAAGACGGCTGAGGCCCCAAGCGGCTAAGGCCCCGAGCGGCGGGGCACGGGGGAGGGCCCCAAACTAACAAATGTTGGACCCTTCTAGGGTAGACCTCCGCGGGCACAGATGTTCCAGAGGTTGGTGTGTGGAGAAAATGGGAAATTTGGTCTTTGCTCTCAGATCTATTTTTTTTTAAAAGCTTGCTGACTCTTCCCATTCTGTTTTCTTTGATTAAAAAAAAAGAAAGAAAATCCCCAGTGGAACGAAGTTTTAAAGGACAGGAATGTCAGAGAGCTGAACATTTCCGGGGCACGGGCGATGAGTTATTTTAACTTGCAGCAACCGTCTGGATCAGAGGCACAGGCTGCTGAACACTCGAGAGCTAAAAGGCCCTACTGTCCGCCGGCTGCGTTTCCGCACCTTTTGAAGTCTGCCTCATTATTCCTTTCTGGTTCTTTCGGAAGTTCTGCCAGAAATACTTATTTTTCTTCTTCCAATCGCCTTTTCCTTGAAAAGAAAAAAAAAGACACAAGCAATAAATTCATTAATAACAAAAGTAGCCTCTTCCTTCTACTTCAAAGCTTATAAAATACTTTGATTTCACAAACAGATTTTCTCTTTCAGTTTGTGAAATGACTTGGAAATGCCTATAAAGTCGTTTATAAGAAATGCAAATTTCCTGGTAGCAGTAGGGATATGATGAGAAATAAGAAAACATCAAAAAGGCAGGCAAAACACGCATTCTTATATTCTCTTTGATGTTTAACTAGTATATACAATTCTGCCTTGTCTGGGGGTATATCCCCCACCCCCTTTGGTCTCGGCCACAATTATTTCAAGTAAACCACGAACAGGATACTTTAAGACGTTTACTTTGTTTTGCTGTTATTCATGCTGATCTAGCCTGGATTCATTTCTGTTACCCCAGATTTCATGGAGCGGTTGGTACAGCCTGTGGTCACTGGTCTGCGGGGCTGGTCCCGGGCCTGAGGGCTGCCCCACGCCGGTTCCCTAAGGTGCGGAGCTTGCATGCGTCTAACAACGAGGGGGCAGGATTCCAGGTCTCTGGCATCAGGCTACCTGGTGACCTTCCCATAGCTCACCCAAGGCACGATGACAAGAAAAGCAGAATACTAGCCTGCTGTGACAACTGCCAACAGGGTGGGTCCCCCTCTTTCTCAGACTACGAGTGTCTTTCCAATGAAAACATTGTCATAAGCTAGACATTTTTAATAGTGTGTGTGTGTGTGTGTGTGTGTGTGGCGGGGGGGGGGGAGTTCTGATCATCAATAATATGCAATAATTTAAAAAGCAAAGGGAAACAAGGCAAGTAAAACGAAAGGACAGAGGGATCCTTTATTCTTTAAAAATAAAGTGAAACGGCAGAGCAACGTGTGCTCCCGCGCAGAGATGACACGCTCACAGCTGCAGCTTCGTCACCGTTTGGAGTCTGGTTGCCCCACAGCCCCTGGAAACAGGGCCCGGCCAGTGGCACGCCGCTGGTTTCCACAGTCTAGACTGGTGGTGCCAGGCAATGCCGCAGAAGACAGACACATGGAAACCCCACCACAGTGTCCCGCGCTAGGAAGGACATCGTTTTTCAAAACAGATGTGCTCATCTAAGTCCTGAGAACCTCTGGAACGATAGGAACCAGCGCCAGCGAGCCTGAGACTCCCTGGGCACTCCGCATCTTGAGGGCACGCGTGACGGGGCACTGCTGCCTTTGGGGTAAACCAGGAAAGGTGAAAGCAGAAGTAGGACTATTACTCAGCCAACCTTTCTCCTGGGCAAATTGGAATATAACGTATTTCTTTGACTATAAACTACACTCCCCCTTCTATCATTTTAATGTTTCTAAAATTAAGGTATAGCTTAAAAAATAAATGGTACTAGCTAACATTGACACAGTATTTACTATATCCAGGCACTCTGCTATCTCGTTTAATACTCACAATGAACATACGATGTTTTATTGTTCCCATTCAGTGAATGAGAAAACCGAGGCTCGGGAGGCTAGTGGTCTGCCCGAGGTCCTAGCTATGAAGTTGGCAGAGTCATGATTTACATCCAGATCAAAGCCTGATTTGAGCATTCCTGCTCCTTCCTAATCACAACTGCTTTGCTAGGCTCCCTCTGACCCAGACAGAAAAAATGTCACTGCATCAAGAGTGGATTTTATCATCGAGGAAACAAAGTCTATAATACCCTCACTGTACATAATCTTTGATTCAAAAGTTCCAAATCAGAGGAAAGTTGAACATCAATATCTTAACAGTGTTTATTTCAGGGCAGAAGGCTTCTTGGTGGTCTTTGTATTTTCACCTGTTTATATATCTTATAGAGTATTACAAGAAAATAATTTAAAATAGATAAACCAAGACACATGGTACTGACCTACAGCGCTGTCTTCTGAGTTTGACTTGTGAAGAGAGTTCCTAGAAAAGAAAAACAAGTCTGGTTACCAAGAAGCCCAGCCTTCGAGGGAGAACTGCCAATCCCAGTTGGTTGAGCCAGCATCCATACTACTCAGCAGAGCCAGCAAAACCTTTGTAAGATATTTACCAACAGCCTTTGCTAGCCAGCAACTGCCCTTCTAGAAACACACTCGTGTACCATTCGTCAACATGTATTAAAGACTCACTCCAGGCTAAGACCTCTATTAAATGAAGGGGACAGACTTCACTCGGTGATCGCAGAGGTAGCTTATCTTCCATTCCTGTGAACTATTAGCTACCCATGAAATTATTGCCATTGGGAAGCCTCTTGTGCTAATGGGAAAAAGAAGGCAAATAATAATGAAAATATAGGCTTAGGACCACAAATGCCACTCAGGCCAGGAGTAAGCAAGATTGTCAGCTATAGGCGAAATAATCGAGGGAATGGGAGGCCCCCAAATCACGGGAGTCTGGATGTCCCCAAAAAGAGAGGGCAGCCAGTATGTAGGTCCTCCAGTCAGTAGCTGCCAGTTGACAAGTGCACTATGCATCTTGCTAGATCTTCTAATGGTCAAAGGAGAGCCAGAAGTCTGCATTTTATAAAACTCAGAGCTCCACATTTTTAAGTGACAGCAAATAATTCAGTGTTCTTAAAGATGTGTCCAACTAACTCAGGACATGTCTGGGCATCTGATCTGGTCCACGCCCTGCCCCAGCCTGGCTGCCAGTTTGACTGCTGATACAGATAAACCCCAATAACCTGAACCGTCAACACGGCCCCAAACCAGGTAATTAATCACTTCTCCAGAAAACCCATCGACTTACAATTCTTTCATTGTTTACATCTACGTTCTTCAAACGATCACACACTTTCAGTAATTTACCCTCAGGTTTGCACGTTGGATCTTTCCCGTTTTATAAGAGGTGCTTCTTCTAGACATCTCTTGCATTTCCCTACGAAGCCAGCAGATGGCACTGTAGATTCTTTATTTATCTTGCCGTGGCCAGTGGGGATTTCACTTCTAAAATTTCACAAGTTCACCGTCTAGATTCTGGCCACAGAATAGCAAGCAATGTTTCATAACCGTGAGGATACCCAACTCATCAATGTGCAAAGGGGGAAAATGGCACCGCATGAAGTTTAATTTGGACGCAGTGAACTGTCCCTGCAAACAGAAGCTGGCAGAGCAGCGAAGCGACATGCCATCACCTTTCTTTCTCCTTGAGACTGATTATAAAACCCACCCAGCAGGAGCAGAAACCAGTGATGTAACCAAATTCCAAATGTGGATGGCAGCAGGTGGACGGGGTCATTTACTGATCTCCTGGGGGGAGAAGTTAATGCTCAGAAGTCAGTTCCAAAGGCCTCTAGTAATTCATCCTTCCTGCCAGCCGCCCAGGCCTGCGAAGGGCAGCTCTGGAAGCAGGTTGTCTGGCCTTGCCTGCCCATCACTCTCATTGCCAACAGAGTGAAAAAGATGGGGACTTCAGCACGGGTTTCGATGGCTAGGAAGCAATAACAGCATTCTGCTGCACTCTGAAAATCTGTTTACGCACTTAAAAATCTCCAAGTTCAGCATTAGTCTGAACTCAATCTGAGTACCTTTACTAACTACTATTATGAGACTCCAAAACTGCATAAATGTTTGCGTTTTTACTCAAGATCCCTAAACGACTTTAACCCTTAATGAAGGCCTAAAGAACCATTCACAATGAGTTTATGAATTAGATTTTTTTAAAACAATTTCAGAGATAGCATTGCCAGAACTTCACCAATTCCTTTTGTTCTACCTCAGTGTTTAGCAAATTCTATGTTAAACTGCTTCCTCCCTTTGTTTTCTTTCTTCTTTCTTTAATTCATTTATTCCTTCCTTTAATAAATATTTATTCGGCCCCCATTAAAGTCTGGCATCCTCTGAGACATTGAAAACAGGGATGATAAATAGGAACCTGGTAAGGTCCCTATTCTAATGGCACTAGGACGGGGGAGAGAAGCAAGGGGCGGGTGCAGATTAAGATGTGGGGAGAACTTCAGGTGGGATGGACAGAGAAGGACTTTGAAGAGGTGTTAGCTGAGCAGAGATGATGTGCTGACGTAACATGCAGCCCCTCAAATGGGGAGGCCTGGGCCGGGAAGAGCGGAGGAGGAAAACAAGAGGATAGCAGTTTGGCCGCCTGAGTTTGAGGAGCCTACTGACCGTCTGTGGGGACACAGGGCAGGTCGTTGGATATAGGAGACCACATGCTGGGGAGCTGCTGAGGGCTGGAGATGGGCATTTGGAAGTCCTGTGCATCTTGAAAGCTAGGAGACCAACTGAGCACAAGGAAGAGGAGCTGTCTCAAGGCTGAGCTCAGGGGCAATCTGTGTCCGGGGGTCAGGAATGAAGATGGAGAGTCGGTGCGACTTAGGGGAAGTGGTCAGTTGGCAGAAGGGAGACCAGGAGAGCACCTTTTCCCTTTTCCAACCAGGGCAACATTAAAAGCAGTTCTACACAAACTATATCACTGCTGCCAATGGCATCCAGGGCACATTCTAGGTCGCTCTACTTTCTCTTCTATTGACTCAACCACTTCACAGTGGAGCGGCTCCTAAGACCACAGAGAAAGAGAAACTAACAGGTCAAAATGAAATTCTTTGCATCTGTAGAGAATTCCACCTCTTACAGAAAACACCCTCTTGACCCTCCCAGAACAGAACAGGGTCCTCACAGGGAGCTGGGAGTGAGGACTTGCCAGAGGACACAGCCTGGGCAAGGACCGGACTGGGGGGGGGGGGGGGGAGCCCTGGCTCTGACTCCCCAGCTAATGCCCTGCCCACGCCGCCATGCTGCTCATTTACATAACAGGAATTAACAGAGTCTACGTTAGTCCTGCCCTTGGGTAAATGACTGGAATGATACTCAGAGGAACTTGTGAAGGCAGAGCACGTTTCCAACACCAAACCTGAACCTGGCCCACGGGTTTATCAGCACAAAGTGTTTCGACAACACTTTTCAGGATTTGGTTGTGTTGCAATTGCGTGATCCTCGCGTGTGCCTGTCGAAGGAAAAGGGGCCAAACAATCTGGCTCAGACTCATTCTTCTGCTTATGTCTATTTATACACAAAGAGTCTGAGGTCCCTCCAGGCAAAGACAGCTCTATCTCCCGGCTGCAAGCTCGGTCTGGCGCACCAGGCCCGCGGCGTGAATGCCCACGCACAAAGGAATGCCTCAAACAGGCTCATTGTTTGTTTTGATGGACTGTCCAGAAACTTCATTATAACCAAACAACCACAAAAAAGAAAAACTGTTATAACCCAATTTCTAAGAAAGGAACATATGTTATGCGTTACTGGAAAAACCTATGCTTAAGAGATTTTTAAGGTTCTTTATTGTGAGTCTCCGGAAATACACTTCTCCAGGAGTTTCTTTCCTGCTGAATTTTGAATCAGGGCTTTTGCTGCGTCTGGGTCTTTTCCTGCACCGTCCCTGCCTGCCAAGGCAGGCCCCAAAGCCAGCAGCGTCTGCCTGAGGGCGTGGAAAAAGGACGGAGACCTCTGCTACTGAATTGTGTACGTGTACAGGGGGGAGGGGGAGCGGGGAGGAAGGCAAGAGGGTTGGGGGGGCTCTTTAGTAGTTAATCTTTTCCTTTTCTTTCTGACTTAAACATAACTAACCTCTCACAGTCATATTTTGCATATTTAGTGACAAATCACTTTGTGTAAAGTGTAATTCCTTAATTTCGTATTTCTGATTATCCTTTGGGTATCAGAGATATTTTCCACCCTAGGAGCATATCTCTACTATTGAATAGAAATATATATGAAACACATTCCTGTTCACAGTATCTACTGACTGTAAAAATTCAAGGGTCAGCCCCTTTCCCAGCTGCAGGGCTGGGACTAGGGTGAGGCAAGAGACACAGAGAGCGCAGTGTGGGAGGTGTTCACTCTCGGGGTCAGATGGGTGCAAGGGGCGGGTGCCACCTTCAGTCCTGCACGCCATGAGCCTCTCTGACTTTCCCCTGGGGACTGGGCCCTGTCCAGCCAACAGGGGCTGGATTTCATACACAGGACAGAATTCAGCTTTGCGAATTCACTGGCTCAGACTGAAAGTAATTCTGTTGCCAAAATCTGGCATATTGTTAGAACTCCCTGGATATCTAGTGCCAATGACAACGTTGGTGACATCCTGTCACTGGTGAAAACACCCCCATAGAGGCCTTTTCTTTCATTTTCACAGTCTATTCCCAGCCTGTCCTTTCTGGCTTTTGTTACAAAGTCACCTTCATAAACGATCAAGGCAGGTGGGTGTCTGAAGTACCGAGTCCCAGGCAATGGCCTGACAGCACAGACTCAGGGCTGAGGAGTTGGGCACACCTGGGATAGCAGGGTCACAGATCCAAGCCATGCTCTCTTTTTACGTGAAGTAGTGATGATAAAAACAGAACCCACCTTGCTGGGCTATTGGGAGAATTACACGAGACGATGAACACAGAGAGCTTAGCACAGTGCCTGGCACTTACTAAGTTCCCCCTAACTGTGACCTCTTCTAACCATTCTTCGGATCACTGCCTAGACTCTAGCAGTTTCTGAATCACTGAGGTTCCTCCTTTTTTTTTTTTAAACATTAACTTCCCTCAAATAATTTGGTGGATATGATCATTCCTCTTCCTTTTCTTGATTACACTTTATACAAGTAACTCATGTTTTTCTTACAATTAAAACACACACACACACACACACACACACACACACACACACACACACAAACACCAATGATTGAATAGATGTCAACATAGAGTTGTAACGGCCACTGACTGGTATCTACACATGAATAATGTTACTTTAAAGTGTTGTCCGAAGGCCCGCTATCCAGGAAGCTGCCCAGCACAATGGCTCTAATGTGGGTTCTGAACTCCAACCACCAGGGTTCAAAGCCCAGCTCTACCATTTACTAACTAGTAACTTTTTAAAATGTTAATGTGCCTTTATTGATTTTTAGAGAGGGGGAGGAATAGA